TTCCTTCTTTGCTTTCGGCGCCATCTTCGTAGAAAGGACAAAACTCCTTTCTTACTTAAACCCATGGCTGTAGATCAAAGGGTTTTTATTGTCTATCTCACTCTGGAGACACTAGTAGATTCAAACTGTAAGAGATATACGCTCTGCCTTTGAGTGAGCAGCAATCTCCCTACAGACTTTTTTTTAATTATTATTATTTTGTGTGCGTGTACCGTCAAATCAGATCTGACTGGTACAGGAGGATATTGCTCCTCCTTCTCCGGCAGAGCATCTGGTGGATTCGAACCATGTACCTCTGGGATTGCAGTGCAGCTTCTTGCCACTAGGCCACCAGAGCTCCCCTCCCTACAGACTCTTGACACCAGAGCTCCCTAACAAGAAACTTGAAACCCTAAGAAAGCAAATCATGATCAGGAACCTCTTTTCATTAGACTAACCTAATTTAAGTAGCATTAAACCCTGAAAGGCTAATTGGTATTTCAAGTTTTTAATGCAAAAAGTTTAGTAGGAGTTATTTCTCATTAAAAAGATTTTTAGCACTGAAAACAGTAACATATTTCAAAGAAACCAAGGAAATAGTTACCAAGTATAATATTAAAATTAGCCAAGGCAAAACAGCACATCAACAGAGAATTGCCTGAGCCTCAAGTCCAGGCTGAATTTACAAGAGGCTTTGATACTAGGGATAGTATAGCTAATAGGAGATGGATTTTGGCTGAAAAGCAAGGTGTACCAGAGGAATGTCTATCTGTGTTTCATTGACTGTACAAGGGCATTTGACTATGTGGATCACTACAAACTGTGGCTGACTCTAAGAATGGGAATCCCAGAATATTTGCTTGTGCTTATGCAAAATATTTGCTTGTGCTTATACGTGGACCAGGAGGCAGAGTAAGGAAACACTGCATGGTACAAAACTGGGAAGAATGTGTGTCAGGGAAGTATCCTATCTCTGTATCTTTTCCATCTATATGTGGAACAGATTATCTGGGAGTACCTTTTCAATCTATATAAAGAACAGATTATCTGGGAATCTGAGCTCTATGAGAAGTGTGGCATCAGGACTGGAGCTAGACTTACAATCTGCATTATACACAAACTTGCTTGCTAAAATTGAGGAGGACCTGAAGCAATTGCTACAGAAGGTCAAGAATTGCAGCCTTCAATATGGATTGAAGCACAGTATCAAGAAAACAAAAGATTCTCACCACCGGGCAGACTGGCAGGATCATGATAGATGACGATATTGAGATTGTTGACAGCTTCAGTTTGCTTAGATCTACAATCAACACTCTTGGTACCAGCAGCCAGGAAATTAAGACATTACATTAAGAAAGTAGGCTGTCAGAGACCTCTCCAAAGTACTGAAGAGCAATGATGTCAGTCTGAAGACTAAGGTGCCCCGATACAGGCCATGGTCTTTGGAATTACTTGCTATACATCAGAGAGCTGGACAATGACTAAGGATAATGGAAGGACAATTATGCCTTTGATCTGTGGTGCTGGAGAGTACTGAGTATATTATGGACTGCTAATACTGACAGGTTATTCCTTGGGGAAAAGGATTTTGAAGCTTTGTCTGACATACTCTGGACATGTTGCAAGGCGAGATCAGTTCTTGGAGAGGGATGTCATGCCTGGGGGGGTGGAGGGACAGCGCAGGAGAGGAAGACCTTCAATGAGATGGATTGATTCAGTCACTAGGGTAATGCAGATAGGTGTGTCAGAGGCAGTAAGAGGCAAGGGATAGAGCAGGGTTTAAGGACTGATATGAGTGGCAGGCAACTCGATAGCACATAACAACAAGGCAAAAAGGGCTTGATATGAATCAGTAGATAATAATAATAATAAAAGGTTAAACTGTAGAAACTTGGAATTTTCTGGATTGAAAAGTAATATTCATCCTCTCCAATTCCAGAACCAGAACTCTCTATAATGGCTGAATAAAGGGCAATATAAAGATTTACTCATATTTTTAACAACTGAATAGCAATAAAAATCATTCACAAGAGAAATACACATAGATGCCAGCTTCAACAGGAAATGTGCATACATATATGAAGATAATATTACCTATGTCTAATTTAACTATGTAAGCTTTGTATTTATAGGTAAAACTAGATTTTGGGTTTTTAACATCACTAACTACTACTAAATATTAAATATATTAAAGTTTCTGAGAGAAGAGTGTTACTCTGATAGGAAACAAAAGATCACAAAACTCGAAAAATGAGTGGCTACCTAGAAAATATTCAGTAGATAAGATGCGAAGAAATTTGGAAAAGTCATATATTTAACACACAGATATGTGGACGCGGTATATTCAAATCAGAGGTGCATGTATACACACACACACACACAAGTCTACCTGCAATTTTAAGACTGTCATACAACAGTAATAACTAAGTAACTTCAAAATAAAAATAAATTATTGTATTATAGGTTTCCAAAGGTATACAGAAGCTCAGTATGAACACGGGGGTGGGGAGTGTGTAATCTAACAATGTAAAACTGTTAACATTGCTGTTGTTCATCAAATTTAAACCGACGCAGAGCTAATCCTAAACAGGTTTTCAGAGGCAGTAAACTGCACAAGAGGAGACTGCCTATCTCTCTGCCACGAAGCAGCTGGTGGCTTAAACATAATTTTTGTTTGGCAGCACAATTCTTTACCACTAAACCAACAAAATTCCCTAGAAATAAATGTAGAGGTAGGATATTAGGTAGACACAGTGCTATTGAGTTCAACACATTCAGACTCTACTGCAACTGTTTACAGACATTATATAAAGTATATGAGGGAACTTGAGTATATCACTTGCTGGAAACTTTAAGGGACAATTATAGGATTGTGGCCCAGTTATTAACTGGGTGGAATGATCTTAGTCACCAGCATAGAAGACACTGGAAATTCTGTTCCTCACTCACCGTACTCATCAGGAGGCAAAAATTCAGTTGTCTGGATTTTAGCAGGGTCTTTCTCTAACTTCCTATAATGCATGCCTCATGTTTTCAATGCCCTTCACTGCATTCTCTCCATTCATGAACGTATGAACCCTTTTAAACAGGCCACAGAACTCACCGTGACAGATGGCAAAGAAATTGGAATCACTCACATTGCCTTCAAATCCTAGATGCTACATATTTTACTAGAAATTTGGAATTACTTCACATAAGCACTAATGTTTTGGAGAGGGAGTCGTGCTAGCACAGGGGTTAAGCACTTCACTGAAAGCTCAAAACCACCAACCCCTCTGGGGAATGAAGACACCTCCTGAAAGCACCAACTTAGGATGTTAGACCCCAAGTGCACCAGAGCATCGACTAGATTCCTTGACCAATTAGGACTAAATCTCATGAAAATCTGCCTTAAACTGAGTGAATAGTTTATAGAGTTATATTAAGCATTGCAGCATCTGGAATGCTATTTCAACATCTCTGTGTGCTAAGAAAAAGTATCCTTTTCTAAGATCAAAATTACAGTCAAATGGTTCATGATACACAGTGATAATCACAAAATAGTTCAGCCTTCTTTTGGTCTACCAAACATTTTTCATTTACCTGTTAGCATTTGTTTGTAATACCCACTAAAGAGAAATAAAAAACTGTTAAAAACTAAAATAACTTTAGAGCTATTTGGTATGTTAGGCAACTAACTTGGATCAATTGGTAATTTTAGTGTGCACTTAGTAAATATTTCTTTTAAGAAATTATTACACATTCTCTTATTACACACACGGCTTTCCAACATCTTACATAGTTGAATACCTACCTACTTAAAGACACAGAGTGATGTGATAAATCACCGCTTCTGTTCAAGATATTTAAGATACCATTTACTGAGTTTTCTTTAGTTCAGTTGTCTTCAAATATTAAGTTCTGCTCCTTTATTTAAAGGCTCTATGATACTACTTCTTAAAATATTTTTTGCTTAATTATATCAAGTTCTTTATAAAGTCAATTTCTATGGCCTTTCAAATTAATCTAAGGTGATATAAATCTGAGAGAGATAACCACAGGAATTTCACACTATGTATTTCAAAAACAAACAATATTGTTATAGTTTAAATATAATGACAGTCTAGTTTAATATTCTTTACAGCTGGAAGTCTAATTATCACTGATCATAAAAAGATTTCACAGATTGAAAAACAAGACATACCTTTATTTTGGGCCATATCTATATTATTCCAATACTTTACCATGCATACGCTCCTTAAATGCACTTACATCAAGTAATACACCCTAAAAAAACTAGGACATACTTTTAATACATGTTTCTTACAAATGTTGTCATAATTAAAAGTTTAATAAATTGCTAAGCTACTCCTTAACATCAGTAAGAACATTTCCAAATACTTTAGAAATAGACTGCTACACATAAATTAAGTTCTACGATCACTTATGATAAATAAAATTAAATGCTAATAAAGTGACACTGGAACCTCAGGCACAAAAAAAAAAATCATACACAGACACAAAAAGGCTACAAATCCCATTCATGAAAGAATGCACCAAACACATGAGCATTTATTTTTTTTTCTTTAAAGCAAATGACAAAGTCCCAGTTTACCAACTTTACTTTTAAACCTAACCTTAACAATACATATTTAAACAATTTTGAAAACTTACTAAATTGCCAGCGTTCATGCACAACTGGAAAACATCCGTAATTTGTATTAAACCAGAAATGTATTACCATTAATGAATTACTATCTTTCACTATTCAATACTGAAAAAAAATTAAGTTCTTTTATAAAGATTTATCCTGTCAATGTTAACTTCACAGCAGACTGAAACTACTTGGCTCACATTTCAAACAAAATGGATAAAGCAAGATCCATGCTGGTGTTAGTGTACAATTTTCTCCTAGCTCCACTAAAGAATGAGGGTTTGTTTACCTTGAATTTATGTTTAATTAAAAAAAGCAAAGTGCATACATAAATTTACAACAATTTAAAGACAAAAAAAATGGTCCTATTAGTGTGGTCCCAACAATAAACTCAAAGTCTATGACAAATAGGTGCTCCGATGAGCTGTTTATAAATACTTTAGATTAGGTACAGGTATACTGAAAGTAGAGTTCGTTTGAAATCTTCAAAAAAATGTTCCTGTTAATCCTCAAATGGTGCTTGTAATAGTTTAACATTTCTGTTAAATGCGTGCGTTGAATTACTTGTTATCCAAGCGTAGCGGCTGCTCCTTACCATTTATTGTTAAGGACTTTAACTGGCCATCTTCTTCAACTTCTACTATTTCTTGACCATTTTCAACAATTCTGTAAGAAAAAAAATTCATTTAAAAATCTTTTCCTGAAGTTATGAATGCGAATACATATGCTATATTAAATTACATAGCTACAACATACACATACAGAACAGTACACATCATCTAAAGACTAAATACAGAAATAGTGCTACTCAGTAACAGTAAATGTTTCAAAAATTTCTATTTACTAACCTATTAACTTCAGGAAGAATTACACATTATGTCTATAAGCTTTAAAAAAGATTACTTCTAATAAGTATTATATTTAGTAAAAACTCTGACTACCTAATTCGGACATTTAAACAAAAACTCTCATGATGTCAGAAAACCATACACTCTAAATTTACGTTTAGACACATGCCAAGTCAATGGAGCATCAATCAGTAAATCTATTAAAATCTAATAACCACTATACCTCTTTGTAGTGATTTTTCTGCCATTCACTGTTTTAGAAGAAGTTGATATGGATTTGAAGCTGCCCACCCCACCGCCACCAAATGAAGTGGAAGAGAAAGAAGTAATACCACCATGACCCAGTGGAGAAAATGATGTAAATCCTACAGGAAAACAAGAAAAAAGGTTAGGAAAGTGTATCCAATACTAACTTTAACATTAACAAACAAACAAGTTTTATGAAACTAAGTTTATGATATAAACAGTTTGTTCTGCATACATTTACTAACACCAAAAATTTTTACTTTTGTTTTTTATTTTGACTTTTAATAGTACGGCTAAAAATGTTTTTAAAGTGTTACATTTTTTTTGAAAAGGAAAGAAATGACGTTTACTAAAGCATGTATTTACAATACAGGGGGGAAAAAGTTAATGTGTCTCCACTTCTACTAAAAGGAACAAATATATTTCAAATTTCCTCCAATTATATTTGGTGCCATTAAGTTTCATTCACACTGTAAGGCAACTTTATAAGAATTTATTTTTGTGCAGATAAAGAAAGCTAAAAAGTACCTGTGTCAAAAGAAGGAAATCCTCCTCCAAAGGCTGGAAACCCACCAAAAGCAGATAAAAATGATCCTGTGCCTCGGTTTCGACTTCCACGAGGCCCTCTGCGACTCCCAAAAAAGTCCTCAAATGGATCTTCTGCAAGCAAGCATAAATGTAATTTATAAGGTAAACTGTAAAATCTTATCTCCTCCCTCTAAAACAAAAGAATCAGAAATAGATGCATGTCTCCTTAGGCCAAAAATCTTAGCAACAAGTTCCTATTAAGCAGATACATAACAAAGTCTAAAGCACTTTACTTACTAGCTTACATAAAGTGAAAACGTGTTAAGGGATGATACACTCAACCTATTCATGACAGTACATATACCAACAAAACTTTATTAGCATGAGACACTGCCCCGACTACCATGGGAATGACTATGGTGTTTTGCCATCCGACAGTTACTTCACTGAGCATACATCTAGAATGTCTTACTTCTAAGGAAATATAATTGTCGGACATAGTATTTTATCAGATATATCTTAATATAAAATTACTAATGAAAAAATAATCATCATACTGTGTCTGGAAATGACAAAATGATCTAGAAAACAGGATTATTACTGACGGTTGGTTTCTTATTATCAACAAGTACATATTGAAAACATAATATAAAAACCACTATTTTTAAAACCTAAGTTCCATGTCATTTTAGAAATGTAAAATTTGTGATAAACACAAAGGATCAAACATGATGATGAGGAAAACATAAAAACATGGGAGAAAAGAGTAAAGTAACCCATAACAGATTTAGTATGGTCGGGAGCACAGAGTTGATATGTTTCAATGACAACAACTTGGAATAAGGGGTGCACTGTGAGGTGGGCTAGGAGGGGAAAAAATGTGCAACAAGAATTTTTTTAAAGGTGATAGTAAAAATAAAGTGTTACTGTTGTGGTGTACCAGAGTCAGAATTGACCCAAAGCTGACCCTTCAGCAAGTTTTCAGAGGTAGTCTAATTGCCCAGGAGAACGCCCATCCTGAGCAGCTGGTGGCCTCAAACCACGCTGCATGCCTTTCCTACTGCAGCGCAGCTTCTTTCCACTAGGCCACCAGAGCTCCCTATTTAAAAAAAAAAAAAAAGTATTTCTTAAAAAAAGCAAAAGAGGTCATTATAGAAACTGACAGGGGATAAACAGCACCTTTAAAAGCTTAACAACTTCTGATGATATTTAAAAAGATTATCAAGAACAATCTTGATAATCTTTAGAAAGATTATCAAGAACAATCTCTGGCGAGCAAAGAGGTAATGATCCAGAGAAATGTTCAAGAGATTTTCACCATGTGAATTTCCAAAAAAGATGAAAGGGAAAAATCTCACAAGCAAAAAAAAGAAAAAAATGATGTAGCAACAACGTGCTTTTTATTAACAAAACCAGATAGTTTATACTTAAGAAAGCAGCTATAAAATTAAGAACACTTGGTTGCTCAAAGCTTGTTATAACAGCTGGAAAAGGAGAAAAGTACAGAACTGAGGAGAACATGTGTATCATTATCAGACGCTTTAAAATTCATAAAGCACAGGTTTGGCGTTTTCTTCTCCACTTTTACTAACAGATTTTTAACTTATCATTACAAATTAACCGTACAATTTTATAGCTTTCTGTTCCCACATTCCATAGTAAACCCCATCCTTTACAAATTTCTCTTAACAGGTCTTACAGGCCCATGAGAAGAGCATTTACAAGTAATAAAAGGTGGGAGTTGTATCACTCTTTTGTAAATCTCTCCAGTAGTTTTAAGGGCTTTATTCAGTTCAAGTAAAATTCAAACATCTTACTTAAATAGCTTTTAAAATTATTACACCACGGCTTGGAAAGAATTCTGATAGTGGTTATTACTTCTTATTCTGAAGTAATAAATCTAAGTAGTACAAGTGCACTAAAGAACTCTTTCTCTCCCAAGAACTCAAATTCAAATTGATAGTAAACCCCAATCTCAGAGCTGTACACTGTTAATGAGAGGATACTGTCCAGCTTTCTCCTTTGTGGATTCAAACTGCTGCCAGGTCTTTGGATTAGATGTGGAACTCCCTATGGGGAAAGCTTCCTGAGCCATGGGAAAGCTGACATTTCTAGGCCCAGCCTTGCCCACCCATTCCTGGCTGGAGCTCTGGAAGCTTAGTACTTTGCACTGCCAGCCCAAAGCCTTGTGGTCTGAATGCACCAACTGCTCTGTAATAATAAATGATGAGTACTCTCCTCCCATGCCACTGCTTGGAAAAATCTGCTAGAAAGTCAGCTATGAGTCTGTTCCAATTCGATTGTGCCTAACAAACAAGCACCAAAACCTAGATATTATACCTTCTAAAGTCTTACTTGCAGTAACTCATAAGTTTTTATCTTCCTGCTACTGCTATTAAGATATGGCTTCTCACCACAAGAAGATAAATGTAAGAAAAAAAATTGAAAAATGGGCACCAGTTAAGGACACTTCACCAAAGACGACATTCAGATGGCCAACAAGTACATGAAGAAATGGTCAAAATCCCTAGTTCTAAGAGAGATGCAAATCAAAACAACTATGAGATATCATCACACCTCAGTCAGAATAGCAAAATTTAACAGAACAACAAATGCTGACAAGGTTGTCAAGAAACCGGAACCCTTATTCATTGTTGGTGGGGATGTAAAATGGTGCAACCACTGTGGAAGGCAGTATGGCGCTTTCTCAAAAGTTGCAAATAGAGATACCATTTGAGCCAGCAATTCTACTACTGGAAATATACCCCAAAGAGACCAAAACTGCCACCCAAGCAGATATATGCACACCCATGTTTATCGCAGCTTTGTTCACAACAGCAAGGAGTTGGAAACAACCTAAGTGCCCACCAACAAATGGACAGAGAAGCTGTGGTATATTCACACAATGGAATACTATGCTGCACCAAAAGACAAGGAACTCATACAGTATTATTTAAAATGGGTGACCCTGGAAGACATTATGCCGAGTGAAATATCTCAGTCACAAAATGACAAATACTTCATGATGCCACTGCTGTAAAACAGGACATTGGGGTTGGGGGGGGGAAGAGACTGAGAAAGATGGGATAAATAATGTATACTGCATTAAAAAACAGATGAGAGAGAAAACTATTTAAAAGGGCTATGTGATTAGGTATTACTGTCATGACAGAAGACCAGAACAAAAGCTGCATAGTGGAGTAGACCTGGGGGTAGGGACTGTAAAACAATGAAAGACTTTTACTTTTCAAAGAGAAGAGTGTACTGGGGGGGAGGGAGGAAGAGGAGTAAGCAGGGAGAAAAGTTGCAACAATGCATGAATGGAAATCCAAAGTCTCTGTAAATTTTAATTAATATTAATTTTAAAAAGGAGGAAAAAAAGAAATACCAAATATTTAACTGTGCTCCCTTTCAAGGAAAAGTCCAAATAAAATGAAATAAAATAAATGGGAAAAAAAGCATGTGTTATAATGTCTCCTTCCATTATCTCCATGATACATCTGACCAAAAACCACAATGAATACACTAGTATCTGTATTAATAAAATATTTTATTACACAATTTATATACATCAAGTTAAAATTTCTTGCAAGCTAGAGATCCAGAGTAGTGTTTTTTTTTTAATTTATTAAGCGAGTAGTGCCTCAAATTCTGCTGTGCTGTATTCTTCCTCACTTAGCAATTCTTCAAAGTCTTCACTCAGTTCTTCCACACCACTTGCTTCATCCTCACTGGATATAAATTCCAATTCCTCACTAAGAATTTCACCCTGTCCTCGGCTACTGACTTCACTTGGCTCATCTTCACTAAAGACATCAAGTTCCTCACTGGAAATGACATCCAAAACCTCACTGTTATCTTCACTTGTAATGTCTTCTACTGTCTCCTCAAAAACGGGCTGGTCTAATTCTTCACTAGACTCCAGCTCCTCACTTGTCAGATCCTCGAGCCCTGGGAGAGTATGTTAAAACAGAAGTCATGTCTCAGAAAAGGGTAACATTAATCACCCTTAATAAAACTATTAGTTCCCTCCAATGATACATATTTTGAGGTCTACATATGCAAGTTATTTATCCAATGCAACAGTAGTCTTGTCATTCAACAAGGCTTTAAGATTATATAGCCTTGACAAAGACTACAAAAACATGGGGGCAAGGGGGGAAATGATTTAAAATTAAGGGAAAACTTGTAAATTCATGCTTGATTTTCTTAAATTAAAATTAGTTTATGGTTCTAATAAATGTACAAGAGGACTTCGGTTTCAAAATATCAATTTTATTGATTAAAGAAAATAATTTTAAAAATTTATTGAGTAATGAATGCTATCTTAAGAAATAAATGCAAAGCTCAAGTCCGAAATATTTTTCTAAGTTTTGAACTTTGGAAACCAGATCATGAGGGGAAACAGCTGGCACTTAGGTAAAAAGCAAGATCATTAACAGCTTGCTGCAAATATGGACATTATAAGTGCGTTTAACTGACTAGGATGTGAGTGCTGCCTCTTATCCCCCAGCTCTAGGTTTATGGAAATCTACACTAAACATACCAGCAGGTTGTACAGTTACTTCATACATGTAGTAGCCAGGGAGCAGGTTCTTTTCCTGTGTATAAATCCTTAAAGCCTGAAAATGGAAGTCACCTAGAACACCTACAAGAATGGATTAAAAAGAATCACTGCCAACCTAATTACAGTTAAAATACCAGGAAAGTATCTTTACAAATTTGATATTCTGAGCATCTCAATACCTAAAGCTGAATGTCTACCAGTCTAGAATTAAAACACTATTTCCTATATTGGACTCTGCGTAGTTATAACATACCTCTAAAGGGGAAGGGATGGGGAGGTGCAGAAAAAGGGCAAGGAAATTTACTAGAATAGCAGAGGCTAGTGGGTGGATGAAAGGCGAGTAAAGGAATAGGCAAGCTGCAATGGTTACTTGAGGCTGGGTGATAAAAGAACAGTAATTAATTATATAGAGCACAATGTGGAAAAATGGTTTTGTATTTGAATGAATGCATACAAAGGAAATGGTTGAAGGAAAGTTTTTTTTAAAAAAAAAAAAAAGGCAGAAAAAGAACTCTTCCTCAAATTGTTTGTAATCTTTGATCCTTTCAACTGAAATACACCTGCATGTAAAAATCCTTATTATACACAAATTTCACCACCACAAAGAGATATGGAAATCAGTATGGGACAGCAATTTCAGTGAATAAAATTGTATTATTCATTCTCATGTAATTAGAATGTCTATGTTGTTTCTCATTGCTCTGCTGTTGGAACAGACTCACAACTGACCCTCAAGCAGGTTTTCAGAGACTGTTAATGGCACGAATGCTCATCTTTCTCCCTCGAGCTCAAGCTGGTGGATTCAAAGCTCCTGCTGTTAGGATGGTCGCACAATTCCTTACCAGCAGAGGCCATCAAAGGTCCCTAATAGGGTGGCAGAAGTCAACACTAACCAAGAGATTAGAGGTTCAAGTCCACCCAGAAACAATTAGGAAGAAAGATGATGACCTGCTTCTAGAACAGTAGCCATTTAAAACCTCAGGAAACACAGTTCTGCTCTGGCACATAAGGTTAAAAGCAAATTAACAGCAATACTTTACAAAGAACTGCTCAAAGAAAATAATTTTTAAATAGGAAGCTTAGTGTGTCACATATTTCGCCCCCAAAAAAAAGCTGTCACAATCAGATCAGTGACTCTTCCTTAATATTTTATTTTTAAGGATCATGTATCAAAAGATCGAAATGCTTTGCCTCAGCCTCAAGTGTAAAAAGCATTTTGAAAATCTGCTTCATTCCTCTTCGTGCCCCATTCCACCCAAGCACTGAAGCACAAGGTGTAAAGAGAATGTCGCTTCAACACCATGCTATTCACACAAGCCAAGTAAGATGTCTACCCCACTTTTGCTCTCCCTTTTTGAACCCAGTTTACAACACAACTGAAGTTTACGAAAAGATACAGAAGATTAAAAAAAATATTCTATTGTACTAGATTTCCTATCTACATGCAGGCTAATAAATAAAGGATACTGGACCTTTTTTCAATATTTTTTACTATTTTCATTGTGGCCACAATTTAAAGCAAGAGAAGCTTTCAGGTAAACAAAGACTACATGCAATCTTTACCTTATACTTCAAATTTCAAAGTTCCTAGCTTAGTGGTAGCCATTAGATTTTATTTAGGAATAGTTAATTAATGTACAATAGCTGTCCATCCTTAATTCAGTATGACTTCAGGCTATGCCATAATAAAGATTTCTCTATAGAAAGATAAAGAACTACATTTTATAGTCTAATACCTAGCATATATAGTGGATGATTTAATTCTTCTCCAAGTCTATGAGAGGCAGAAGGGAGTCATGCTTGATTCCCTCTATTCTTTGTAGGTAAAACCTGCTTCTTTCATCCCTCTGAGGGTTGGAGGTGAGTCTCTTCAATTAGGCTGCAAGAAATGGTTTTCCTCCCTCAGTGAGCCAAAGAAAAATGGCTGCAGCAGTGGATTGTAACCCTATCCTTCCACCAGTCATTCAGTGCACCGATTAAACAACAGTACCAGCAGTCAACAAAACAAGCAACTAACTAGAACTAAGAGGAGTTCCTGGTATTTATTTCTATCAATCTGAAACAAACACTAAGCACTAGGCCCTACAAAGAATTGCAGCCAATAATAAAATTCATCCTTTCAAAGACCCTGTTGCTGTTAATGTGCCTTTGAGTCGCCCACGACTCATGATGACCCTATGAAGTCTGCCCTGTCCTGACCATCCAGTCTCACTGACTCCAATACAGACACACCTAATGCCACTACCCCACTACGAGGGAAACAGGTAATACCATCTCATTTTTCCATTATCATCTCATAGCAAAGAGTATGTGTATTGCCTTGTCCTAAGTGTTGATTTCTCTCTTCCCCTGCCCCAAGGAAATTATGAACACAGTAGTGAAAGCAAACCACAATTACAGCGAGACAAGCAGGTTTATAGATAACATGTCTAAAATTTTAATATTGTGGTGGTGGTGCACCACAAAATCAGAACTGACCCATAGCTTATCCTCTGGGTTTTCGAAGGCAGTCAACCGCACGGAGGGAGACTGCCATCTTTCTCCCACAGAGCAGCTGATGGCCTCAAATTGCATCCCTTCAGGATTGCAGCAAAGCTTTTTGCCACTAAAATACAATTTTTAATAGCTAACATCCTTTCAAATCATCTGTTGTTAATGTGCCTTTGAGTCACCCACGACTCATAGTGACCGTATGTACAACAGCTCTGAAGCCTGTCCTATCCTTGACTGCCCAGTCTCACTGACTCTAAAAGACACACCTAATGCCATGACCCCAGTTATTGTGCTACTCCATCTCTTCCAAGGTCTTCCTCTCCAGCGCTGTCCCCTTCGCCCTTCTAAGTATGATGTCTTCCTTCAAGGTCTAGTTCCTCCAGGCCATGTGTCCAAAGTACATCAGACAAAGCTTCAAAATCCTAGCCCCAAAAGAGAAACTTTGTTTCACACTCTTCAACACAGACCTATTTGTTCTTCTGGTGGTCCATGTTATGTTCAAGACTCTCATTCAGCACAACTCAAAGGCATCAATTCTTTTGTCATCCTTAGTTACTGTCCAGCTCTCTGATGCAAAGCAAGTAACTGCAAAGACCATGGCCTGGATCTCTAGACTGACACTGCTCTTTACCACTTTCAAGTCCCTAATACCAGACTTCCCCAATGCAATTCATCTTTTTATTTCTTGACTGCTAATGCCAGAGTGTTGATTGTTGAGCCAAACTGATATTCAGCTTCAATCCATACTGAAGACTACAGTCCTGAACCATTGACAGCAACTGTTTCATTTTCCTCCTCAGGTTCAACATGCAAGTTTTATCATTGACATAAAGAAGATAGTATCCCTTTTTTAACCACTTTCTAATTTGAAATAGCAAAAGTTAGAACAATACATAATTAAGAAAATGTATTAAAATCATTTTAATGTGCAGGCAATAAATTTTAAAAAATCTTCAAAACAGAAGGCGAGAAAGAACTTTACAGCTCCCACACAAAGTTTAATGGGAAAGAATACAATGGTAAGTAAACAAAAAACACATTAGCCATCACATATGTAAGACAAAACAAACAAAGTCATTTACATAGATGAACTTAACTTACCAAAGAAGTCAAAGGAAAATGGGTCCCTTCCACCAAAAAATTCCCTGAAGACTTCATCTGGATGACGGAATGTGAAGCCAAACTCAAATGGACTATCAAAATGACTTCTACCTATACCTATAAAACAGGACAGAATTTCTAGTATACCAATTCCATTTTTTCATAAATAATTATTTGTACAGAAAACATTAAATAAGACATGATCACAAGCAACAAATGCTGGCGAGGTTGTGGAGAAACTGGAACCCTTATTCACTGTTGGTGGGAGCGTAAAATAGTGCAACCACTGTGGAAGGCAGTATGCTGCTTTATCAAAAAGTTGCAAACAGAGATACCAATTTGACCCAGCTATTCCACTACTGGGAATATACCCCAAAGAGACCATAACTGCCACACAAGTAGATATATGCACAACCATGTTTACTGCAGCTTTGTTCACAATACCAAGGAGTTGGAAACAACCTAAGTGCCCATCAACAAATGAATGGATAGAGAAGCTGTGATATTACACAATGGAATACTAGGCTGCACTGAAAAACAAGGAACTCATACAGTATTATTCAAAATGGGTGACCCTGGAGGGCATTACGCTGAGTGAAATATCTCAATCACAAAAAGACAAATACTGCATGGTGCCACTGTTGTAAAACAGGACTGACATCAGGGTTGGGGAGGAGACTGAGAAAGATAGGATAAATAATGTATACTGCATTGAAACAGATGAGGGAGAAAACGTCTAAAAGGGGTATGTGGTTAGGTATTTTTGTCATGACAGGAGTCTAGAGGAAAGGCTACATGGTGGAGTGGACCTGGGGGAGGGTTTGTAAAACAATGAAAGAATTTTTCTTTTACTTTTCCAAGAGGGTAGGGAGGGGAAAAAAGTACAATAATGAATGAATGGAAATCCAAAGTCTGTAAATTTTTACTAAAATTAATAATAAATTTAAATTTTAAAAAAGGAAAAAAATAAGACATGATCAAAAAGAAAATGTTGCATAAATCTAAGGCTCTCAGAATACATAATGAACCTGTCCCTGACTAACAAAACCGTATGCAGATTGCTAGCTTTCTGAATTTCATAACAGCAATCCCTTTCAGTCAATTTCTTTTTCCATATTTAATTCTTAATAGAGAGGGAGAATGAGAATGTTTGTGTGTGAGAAATCAAAATGTTATAAAGTTTTCTAAAAAAAAAAAATAAGTGTATAGGTGAGCTCTGGTGTCCTTGTGGCAAGAAGCCGCACTGCAATCCCAGGGGTAAGTGGTTCAAATCCACCAGATGCTCTGCTGGAGATGGAGGGACAATCTCCTCCTGGACTAGTCAGATCTGATTTGATGGTACACACAAAAAATAGTAACTATTTTTTTTTTTTTTAAAAGGGTACAGTCATCCTATTGGTACAGCAAAGGATGGAACCTGGTTGGCTGGGTATCAGATCCAGCAAACAAAAACGTCAAGAAGTTCAAACTACAGTTTTATTAAAATAAGGTTACAAAAATATTCTAGCTATAGAAATTACTAGTCTACTATTTCTAGGCCAGTAACTTTTTTTAAAAACTGCTATCAATTCCTCCTCCCTTTCTTCCATTCGAGGCACTGTCTATAGGGTGCATCTGTATTTACTTCCAAAATGTAAAAAACACTTTATGAGATCTCACTAATTTAAATTCAGAGCAAATTCACCTGATTTATCAAGAGCATCTCCACACCACCTCTTCTCGCCATTAAAATTAAAAGGGGGTGAAAAATCACAAATTTTAGTTAAATCTACGTACCTTCACTTCCACCATTCAATCCTTCTTTGCCGTATTTGTCATAAATGTCTCGTTTTTTCGCTTTAATGTAAAAAGAGAGGAAAAATGTTAGTACATCCTATGAAGGTTTTCTTCCTCAAAAATTCAATAGGAAGAACAGTTCCCAATTTTTAAGTCAAAGATCCAATGCATTTTATACAGGTTTTCACAATTAAATTTTAGGGTATTAGGCCAGTCCTTACTTAAAATAAAAATAAAAAAGTGAAAAAAACCTTATGGTCCTCTCCTTGAAAACTGGAAAAAATCATTATACATTTTATAAAAGTTATTACAAACACTCATTTTACCAAATTCTTTCAATCCACTGTGTCACATAACCCACCAGTCCAATGTCAGTCTGTTGTTCTATATAAAACTACCCCATGGTATTTTTATTTTCTGCATATGCATGCATGGAGCTGCATATCAATATGATTAAATAAGAAAAGATGAATTCAAATTATGGTACAGGTGAAGAATATCAGACACCTGAAAACAAACAAGCAAATCTGTTTTAGATTAGGTATAAGTTAGGGTGCAAGGATAGGGAGACCATCTCACCAACTCTGCAAGTTATCAGGAAATATCAGACTTTGGAAAGGGGTATCATGCCTGGTAATTCGTTCTTATTACATGCTATTTATTTTGGCTCAACTCCAGCATGTTTTCAGAGGCTATAATTCAAACAAGAGTACAATGGTAATCTATCTCTCATAGAGCAGTTAGTTGATTTCAACCATGTGTCCTTAGAGTGACAGTGAAATTCCTTACCACAAGGCCACCAGAGCTCCTTTGGCACAGTGGCAGGTCAATGAGAGAAAGAAGATCCTTGCTGAAATGAGGACTGGCACAATAACTTAATTACAGGCCTAAGTGCAGGGGAAATTTTGAGGATGACACAGAATCTGCCAAGGTTTAGACCTACTATGTTTAAAGCTGCTATGAACTGGAGTAAATGCAGCAGCATCTGACAAAAGCACCTAGCACAGCCCATTAAAATCACATTACAAACGCAAAAAAATTTTAGCATTAGAAGCGCGTGTTTTCTTACAACAAAGTTTAACTTAAAGGGTAAAATCTGTAGTATAAAATGGCAAGATGCTGGATGCAGGAAGAAAGCTGATGTACCAAAGGACAGCTAATTTTAAACAGCCAGCCCAGAAACAAATGCAAAGTTGGACCCAAAAAAAAAAATACACTGGTGTTCTTACTATACACATTTTACAATCAAAACAGCAAAAATACTTAGACCTGTAACTACCTCTGAGGTATGTACTCCCCAATCCCTCATAAACTCTGCAAATCTTGCACTAAAATAAAACTATCTGTAGAGAAAAGTAGTTTCATAGGTAAATCATTCAAACCATTTTTTGTCCTTCAAAACCTCATACTCATTCACACACTACCATCAAATCAAAACCAACTTAGGACTTCAAGTACCCTCTGAGTTTTCAGAGTCTATAAACTGCACAGGAGGAGAATGCCCATTTTTTTCTTCAGAGGAGTTGGTGAATTTGAACCACCTGCGTTTGGGCTGACAGTGAAATGCCTCTCTAGGCCATCAGAATTCCCTTTGGTAACTGTTGTTGCTGTTATGTATCATGATCAGAAATGACTCAGCTAACCCTTCAGTGGGTTTTCAGAGTAATGTACCACGTGGGAAGGCATTCTTTATCTTTCTCCCTTGGAGCAGTGGGTCGATTCCAAACTCATGCCTTTGCGCTAACAAACTCCTTACTATCTAAGCACCAGAGTTCCCTAGAGACCTAAAAATAACTACCCTGGAGGAAACTTATATAATAAGGTGAGTCAACAAGTAAAATAACCTACTTAAAATGTAAAAAAAAAAAAAGTTCCAAGCATTATTATGGTCATACCACGTATCTATAACAAAAAAATTAAGGTTAGCATCAGTCTAGCTCAATGGACATTCTTAAAATCTGAGCTATTTATATTTGAACTACTGTAAGTGTCTGGATTCAATGTTTGGGTAACAAGTTATTCAACTAGATGCCTGGAATTTCCTTCAAAATAATGGGAAAGGAGTTATATAAAGCAAGGTCAGTCACATGTTAGTAAGTTTAAACTGAATGCCAATAATAAAGTCCATCTTAAGACCAAAATATTATGTCAACAGTGATCTAGAATTATCGAATTGTACATGACTATGGGTCTGCGCCCAGCAATGATCTCTAATCTTTTAAATACCTTTGCCTTTACTCATATTATGTCATCCAAGACTGCTTTCTGCCAAGGCCTTGTAAGTACTTTTCTAGTTCTCTTACAATGTATCATATTGTCTCATAACCCACACAAATTCTAAAACTTGATTATAACCAGACAGTCTTTCAAATGATAAAAGTAAACACACTAACTATTCAAGCTGTAAGCATCTTCATGGAAAAAAACTTAGCTAAAAACTTTAGTTGTCTTAATCTGCATTGGATGTTCATTTTCTTATTTTAGACTTCCCAAACAAAACAATGACTGGTTTTAACATGTTTTTAGTCTTCATATGATTATTAGCACATTAATAAATGGTATATACTTAGGAGATAAACTGCATAATTACCACCAATCTTCACTATTTCAGATCAGTGAGAATTTCATTGTTAACTTGGCTTTCATATGTAGTTCAAGGGGCACATTAGTCTGATTCAGATAGCTCTCTATTGTGTATGTAACTTGTGTACATTACTCTGAGAAGTTTTCTTAACTATAAAAATGCAAAGCACTGGATTGCTTGATGACGCCAACTGGAATAATGCATACAAAATACTTGGCATAATGTGCACACTAACAGAACGAGATATACATGAGCTTTCTCAAGTGAGTATTATAACTGGATAGTATGTTTATCAGTACCCCTAGATTAAAACAATTTAAAAGCTTTTAGTATGCCTGATTAAGAAAGGACCTGAGGATTTTTCTACTTTATAAACTGAGCTGCTTATGTAATTTTCAGTATTTCTAGGTTTTTGTTTGGCAGACACAAGAAACATGCTCCAATTACATTATGTGTTTGTTTTTAGGTGTTGTCACGTTAGAACTAATTGACAGCTGACACTCTAGTGGATTTTTCAGTGGCTGTACATCACAAAGGAGATTTCCTGTCTTTCTCCGACAGAGTAACTAGTGGATTCAAGCCACGTACATTGGGGTTAGTAGAGAAACTCCTTACACTAAGACAACAGAGGGCTCTTTTAATAAATATATACAGCTATACTTCAAATCTTTTTTGAAGTAAGGTAGACATCTGTGAACTCAATAACCAAGTTATGATAAGTTTAAGCTTAGAACTACTAGCCCTTCCAAGTCTATTTTACAGATATAAAGATGTAATACTTAAGTATGGAGTGCTCTACTTTTGTTATCTTATGTTGTGCAGTATCAGGAGAAAAGAACATAAAAGAATTTCATGGAGTGTATACTGCCATCATTTTGACTCTCTGTCCCACTGCTCTATTAAAAACAAACAAACCTTGCTGTTTATTATTTTAAACTATTACTACTTTAAAGCACAGTCTTTATGCAGAAGTGCTTCATGATTTAATATCAAGAGGTCTTTTTAATAAATCCTGGGAAATTTATTTCTTCCTAAGAAAAGATTATCTAATTGTACAAAGAATCCCTTTTAAATGTTAGGCACCAATGGGTATGGGAACTCATTTTCTTCTTAGAGCCTTGATTTAACAATGAAACCATGTAGCTTATTCAAGGACCTAATTTCCATTTTATAAATAAAAAGGGGCATTTCACAAGTTTTTCTTTTTTTTTTTAGAAGTTTTTCAATTGTTCTGTTCAAGGTACCTTTAATTTGATCACAGATTAAAACACTGTTTTACAACCACGCAGTATAGTATTAGTCGACGCTAGCTTAGAAAAAGGGAACCAGAAAAGGACTCAGCATGGATTTCAGACTTACCTGGTCACAAATGTTTTTCTTTAAAATTTTTTGTCACTAATGCATGTTACATAGCATTAATTAAAACAAGGCTTAGATCTATTCCTGTATTTAAATTCATTTAAGAGCCTTAGTAGCACAACAGTTTAAGCAATGGATTGCTATCAAGAAGTCTGCTGCCTGCTAGCCAGTCTGTGGGAGAAAAACATGACCATTTGCTTCCCTAAAGATGACAGCTTTGAGAAACCTTTGAGAAATATGTATGGGACTGTTCTACTCTGTCCTTATAGCCACTATGAGCTGGAATTGACTTAATTGGGGGAGGGGCTGTATGTGCACATATATACACGCTAATTAAAAGATCTTCGTAAGTAGATCACAGGTTTAATTATTCTATATTATCTCCATTACTATGAGACCAAGAAGAAAAGAATGGTGCCTGGCTACTATTACTGACCATTTTTTATAAGTCTGATAACAAACTTATATCCAGAATTTATAGAATACTCTGCACCACAACAAGATAAAAGCAAATAACCCAATTTATATGGGCACAGGCTTTGAACAGACACTTCACCAAAGACGACAAATGTGTAACAAACATATGAAGAAATTTTCAAAATCCCTAGCTCTAAGAGAAATGTAAATCAAAAGAACTATGGGATACCATCTCACCCCAGTAAGAATAGCAAAATTCAAGACAGCAGCAAAAAACAATAAATGCTGGCAAGGTTGTGGAGAAACTGGAACCCTTATTCACTGTTGGTGAAAGTGTAAAATGGTGCAACCACTATGGAAGGCAGTAAGGTGCTTTGGAAATAGAAATACCATTTGACCCAGCAAATCCACTACTGGGAATATACCCTAAAGAAACCAGAACTGCCACCCAAGCAGATATATGCACACACATTTACTGCTGTGTTGTTCACAATAGCAAAGAGATGGAAGCAACCCAAGAGCCAATCAACAAACAAATGGATAGAGAGGCTCTGGTATATTCACACAATGGTATATTATGCAGCACTGAAAAACAAGGAACTCAAGAAAAATACAAACTGGTTGACCCTAGAGGACATTATGCTGAGTGAAATATCTCAATCACAAAAGGACAAATATTGCATAACGTTACTGCTGTGAAACAGGACTGGTATCAGGGGTTGGAGGTAAACTCTGAAAAGAGTGGATAAATAATGTACACTGCATAGAAATAGATGAGGGGAAAAGAACTGTTTAAAAGGAATATATGATTAGGTATTATTTATGATAACAGTCTAGTATAAGAGCTGCATAGTAAAGTGGACTAGGGTGGGAGTGGGGAATTGTACAACAATCAAAGATTTTTTTTTCTCCCCTCCAAAGAGAAAAGCAAGCAACGGGAGCCAGGGAGGAAAATGTCCAACAATCAATAAATGGAAATTCAAGTTCTCTATAAACTTTCATTAAAAATCTCAATTTTTAAAAAAAGTACACTTGAAAAAAATCCAAAAGATGAATACTGTTTAAAAAAAAAGGGGGGGGGGGGCAAGCATAACACAACTTGACATTTCTACATCACACTGTGACTAGGGGAACCAGAATCTAATGCTCAGAAATATATCAATCTAAGGGAGCTCTGGTGGCCTAGTGGCAAGACGCTGCACTGCAATCCCAGAGGTACGCGGTTCAAATCCACCAGATGCTCTGCTGGAGAAGGAGGGGGCAAACTCCTCCTGTACCAGTCAGATCTGATTTGATGGTACACGTAAAAAATGACACAATAAAAATTAAAAAATAAATAAATAAAAATAATAATCTTTAAAAAATATAAATCTTAAACTGAAACGATTCCACTAACTTCCATCATGAAAGTTTACTGTTTTCAAGGTATGATTTAAGTTCATGAGTACTGTACACCAATGTTTATAGCAGCATTATTAGAACATGGAAACAGTCCAAATGTCCAACCACAAGGAAATGGACTGAGAAATTGTGGTACATTCACATGATGGAATACTACAGAAAACGCTGAACAATGATTTTGAAAATCAACGACCTATCTTGGCAGGGACTTAAGAGCATTATGCTAGGTGAACTCATTCAGTCCCATTAGGACAAATACTATTTAAGACCATTAATGTGGAAACAGGTAACTTGTAAAACATGTATGAGGGTCCAAAGGGCAGGGGGAAGAAGCAGAGGGATGAGGATAGGAAGGAGAATAATCATAGGGTCACACAATTTGATCGGTAGAAAGAGGGGTGGGTAAAGGAAAGGGGAAAGATCTGGTGTAAAAAACAATGTATATAAACTTTTGGGAGAAAAGTGTGGCAATGAATGAATGGAAATCCAAAACCTCTGTAAATGTTTATTAAATTTAAAAAGGGTATATAATAAAAAATAAAAAGGGTATAAAAAAATTAACAATGTACATAAACTTTTTAAGTGAAACAGTATAAAAAATTTTGTTTAAAGAAAAAAATCTCAAACCTCCCACAAATAAAAAGATAGTCATTATCAGAAGAGGTCTCAGATAGTTAAAGGTCTTATGATTTCTTTGGTCTTTTTATAAAACCTTTTCTTGTGATCTAAGTGAAAGACTTACCAAGTTAATGGGTTTTTTCCATTCAATGATTCATGTAATTTTGTTTTGGGATACAAGTTGTAATCCTTGCACTGTAAAACATTTTCCCCCGCTTTCATCCTGTGATTCTTGTTTCCACTCATCCTCTCCCTTCCTGAACATTTACCCCTTGGCAAATGCTGTCCTTTCACTCTCATATGACAGATAATGTCCTTGGACTTGATCATCTCCCTGGTGGTACTGGTTACATAATAAGCCTACTGTCATGGCTGAAAGTTCTTTTTTTTTTTTTCTATAATTATATTTTATTAATTTTCATAAACATTTACAGAGATTTTGGGCTTCCACTCATTCATTGTTGCACTATTCTCTCTACCCTCCTCCCAGTTTGTTCTTGTCCAAATGCCACAGTGCTTGTCAAAGCCAGTTCTGATTAATCTTCTTTGTCAGTGTATCCTTTGCCATTCCCTATCACTCCTCCCTGAGAGAGACTTCACCCTGAGTCATAAGGAAAAGGGGACGGCGTATTCTCTTAGCTACTTCCTGCTGAAAAGGGACGCTGTGGGTTTCAGGGTGAAGATCTTCTCTCACTACTCTAAAGCCTACTGTCATGGCTGAAAGTTCTGACACGGAAGTTCAACTCCAGGTTCGAGGCAGGGCTAAAGCAAGAGCCATAGTCTTGAGGGTTCCAGTCTCTTAATACAGTACTTATTTCTTCCTTTATTTAGAACCCTCTATTGTGACCCTGTTCAGTGGTCAGAGGAGCTAGCCAGATACGATCTTCTGGTCTCAAGGTCATGGAAGTTACTCCTCAGGTGGCCCCAGGTGCTGCTCAATGAAGCAGGATATGCACAGTATACACAATGTGGGTTATGTTATATCAACTGATCCTCTTGGCCCTAAGACTAAGAATGCAGGCCTTATGAACTACATTTCCTGTGTATTTGGTTATTTCATTTATTCATGTGTTAGTACCCATAATAAATTAAGTACACATGAGATGGTGGAGCTCAGGCAAGGTAATGAAGATTTGGGATTAATGCTTCTAAAAACCATTATGTCATGTCACCACTGGAGAAGTAGGGTTTGTTGGGGTTATTTTTTTACCTGTTTTTACTATTTTAAATATTCTGCTTTTCTCATCATCCTCCACAGCTTGTGTGTTTAGTCCTACCTGTGACCTTAGAATATGTCTCATTAATACCACAGTTGTGTTACTCCTTTTGACATGACATAAAATTAAAAATTTGTGGTGACCAAGTTTGCTACAAATTGATAATAATTTTATAAAGCTATGATGATGTCAATTTAGGAAAACTTTTAAAATAGAGAATGCAGCATGTGGCCTGCAGGGAGAAGCCCCACATGCAGCCTAACTGTACTCTTCTGGCCAGTTTTTCGCTTGCAGAGGAAGACGGGAGAGAGCCAACCCGAGCGCCACAAGGAGCTCGCTGCCTCAGACAACCATAATGTGATTCCTTGTTCTACTGCAGTTATTATTATTTTAACCTTAAGTGGTTCTATTCACCCTTTCTCCTTTTGTGGAAGGGGAAAGCAATAATAACTACTGTTAGGCCAAAGATCAAAATGGAGGTTGAAACTCAACTCAAAAATCCCGTGCCAGGCTATTTTCCAAAACCAGAACTCAGAAAATCCTATGTCAGAACATTCCCTAAAATCAAAACTTAGAAAAACCCTATGCCACGACATTTTTCTGAAACCAGAACTAAGAAATCCTAAGTCAGGACACTCCCCAGAACCGTTTCCCTAGACCAGAAACTTTATGCCCCAATAGACCACTGTAATGACCCCATATAAAAATCCCAAGTCCAAAACCCAGTGCTACTCCCCTTGCTGGAGACCAGCACGCAATAAACTCTGAGAAATGTTTCTACCTCGGCGTGGTTCTTGGCTTTGACCCGAAACCTTTCACTTACCTTGAGTTACAATTAACCACTTGGTGGAAAGGAAGGGACAATGATGGTGGCTCTAGAGCCAGAAGGGCTATTCCCAGCTGTGGTAAGGTGCAAAGTCTGAACCTTAGAAGAACGTGGGGTAGGGGAGAGGCACCAGGCTCAACTAGGGAGAGCTGCCTTGTATGTCTGAAGAACTTTATCTAGGCCTATTTCCTCCATCTCCTCCTTCAATACACCTGGTAGTAGCACCTCCAAAGCCCTTTTAACTGTAACTCACAAGTCTGTTCTCTCTAGTTTTGCTCTTTCCTATAGGTAACCTGAACACTGGGTCTTGTTCCAGAACCTGAACCTGGTTCCAGACACAATAGGGCAATATAACTGACTCGACGGCACATAACAACAACAACAAGGAAGTGAAGATAGATTTAGCCTCAAAGTTCAGCATCCACTCCCAGCGGAATCACCCATGCAAACATACTGCAGTCCAGAGAGCAGAAAACGTCATGAAAAGACCTTCTAACTGAACAAGGCATGTAGCTTCAACTCAAGACCACCAGTAAAGTGTTAAAGTGGGCTTCCCATCCCCTTCATCTCAACACCCCTGTTTAGCATGAAGCAGCCAGAGTCTGTATCCCTATTCCCAAATGGGAAACCCACAAATAAAAAAGACAATCTCTTGGAGAGGGGGAAATTAATCACCATTGGACTATATGCCCACCCTTACCATGCCTTTTCTGGTCCTTGCGGGTTCTTATTTCCTTTATTCACTCCCTCCACCCACCAAATTGTGGAACCCTGCAATTTCATCACATCCCATCCTCACCCTTCTGCTCTTACCCCTTACCCCATCTATGTTTTTTTATCATTAAAAAAAAATTGAGAATGCCTGTGAAAGTTAGCACATATTTAAGGTTCTTGATGCTTAGCAGCTGCACTAAATTAGCCTCAGTAAATGCTCATGGGTGACAATTTCACCTACCAACAATGTCAGTGATATTCAATAAAGCATTTTCACATAAAAACTGAAATTCACTAAAGGTCCTCCAATGAAAATGGTACAAGTCCTTTCAAGTAGTGAAAAAAAGTTACCATACTGAGACAACGTGGTAAAACAGTTAAGAATAGTTAACTATTACCTATGGGAAGAGAAGTGACAGAAATATTCAAGGAACCTTTTTCTCCAATTAAGTTATATCAAACACTTTAAAAACACCTATCCTAAGGAAGCTCTGGTGGCCTAGTGGCAAGAAGCTGCACTGCAAACCCAGAGGCACACAGTTCAAATCCACCAGATGCTCTGCTGGAAAAGGAGGGACAATCTCCTCCTGTACCAGTCAGATCCTATTTGACGGTACACACACACAATATAATAAAGATAAAATAAAGTAAAAAAAAAAATACCTATCCTAAGAGAATTTGTGGGAAATCAAATTGGCTTTATAATATTCATAGTTAACTATAGGGAAATCAAATGGGGAAGAGGAACAGAAAATTCAAGTCTCTGAAAGGAAATAAAGTTTTCTTCTTGGAGGCTTCAAAATATAATTTCCTTTTCCCTATATTATGATGACTATCATTCTCACCAACCTATTCAGACTTGAATAGGTTATTGCTAATACCAACAAGGTTAGTGTTACTTACCATCTGATAACACTTCATATGCCTCAGCTACTTGTTTGAATTTTCTCTCTGCTTCATCCTTATTCTCAGGATTTTTATCAGGATGCCACTTCAATGCCAATTTACGATATCTAGAAAAAAGTTAAGTGTTTTAATGACATTTAAACTCTGAAATCTGGGCTTCAGTTTGAAACTAGAAGAGTTATGCAATGAAATGGCTTCAGAGCTGCAAAGTGCCTAGATTAGTATTAACTAAAATCTTAAAATGGCTTTCTCCAAAGTTCAAATATGTAAGCACTAATTAAAAGTATAAGCAAACATATATACAAATAAAAATCTACCGGGAGCTCTGGTGGCCTACTGGCAAGAAGCTGCACTGCAATCCCAAAGGTACTCGGTTTATATTCACCAGATTCTGTGCTGGAGTAGGAGCGGCAATCTCCTCCTGTACCAGTCAGAACCAATTTGACCGTACACACACACAAAATATTAAAATTTTAAAAATAAATAAATAAATAAAATTCTACCCATGCTTGAATAACCAAAATATCCACAACATGGACTCTGGTGATTCCGTTAAAAAGAATTAAAACCCAGTCATAACCCAGATTGTTTTTACTCTTGTATTCATCACTAGGTATCTAAATGAATGCATCTGAATCACAGCCCCTTTGACAAATGGCAGAGTCTACATTCATGAAGACTAGCCCACCTGAGTTGTGTGCACCAATAGGTGAACTTTGTTTCTCCAAAATAAGCACATCCAAGTTTCCCTGAGAGATAGCCAATTTGCAAATTATTCTGTCACCTGGGACCTGTACTCCTGAACTCAGATAAGTCCTGATCAGAAAGGTTAAAGCAATCAAGTAATTCTCAAACTTTAATATGAATCAGAACTGATTTGCAGTCCAACAGCCTTAATTTTCATGCAATTACATTCAGGAAGTTACTAGTTAAGAGTACCAAGTCAATTACATTTCAAAATCCAATGTTAAAGCGTTTTGTACAGCAAATATTTAGCAAGGGGGAAAAAAATAATTTAAATCTGTATTAAGCAGAGACAGGGCCCCACTGCCCTAAAGGCAAAATAACAAGCCCTAAAGGCAAAATAACAAAAGTAAATCAAATAACCTTTTTTATTCTTAAGATTATGCCAAGGTTTGAGAGTGCAAGTATTTACGTGTGAACATTCTGTTTTAGATATATATATAATTTTACCATGCAGCATTAAAAAGCTGTTACAATGCAATAAAAATCGTTTAACAGGTAAAATACAAAATTAAACACTATGCAATTACCAGTGTAAAAATTGTAAATATTTCAAGAATAAAACTACTTACGCCTTTTTTATATCCTCAGGTGAGGCATGTTTCTGCACACCTAGTACTTCATAGTAATCCACCATGTTTGAGCAGGTTGTTGGAACAAGACCTGTAATTTAAAAAAATTGTTGGTCAATCACAAACTGTCACATTTTAGTAAATAATGAGGGATGAAGATAGAATACAAAACAAAGGAGGGAGCAAACAAACGCTGGCAAGGTTGTGGAAAAACTGGAACCCTTATTCACCATTGGTGGGAGTGTAAAATGATGCAACCACTATGGAAGGCGGTATGGCACTCTCTCAAAAAGTTGCAAATAGAAATACCATTTGACCCAGTAATTCCTCTGCTGGAAATAAAGAAACCGTAACTGTCACCCAGGCAGATATATGCACACCCATGTTTATAGTGGCTTTGTTCACAACAGCAAAGAGTTGGAAACAACCTAAGTGTCCATCAACAAACAGATGGATAGAGAAACTGTGGTATACTCACACAATGGAATACTACGCTGCACTGGAAAAAAAGGAACTCATGCAGTATTATTCAAAATGGGTGACCTTGGAGGACTTTATGCTGAGTGAATTATCTCAGTCACAAAAGGACAAATAATGCATAGTGCCACTGTTGTACAACAGGACTGACATCAAGATTGCAGTGAGACTGGGAAAAAATTGGATAAATTATGTAGACTGCATTGAAACAGATGGGAAGAGAATAGTTTAAAAGTGATATACGATTGGGTATTACAGTCATGACAAGGGTCAAGAACGAAGGCTGCATAGTGGAGTGTATTGTGGGGGGGAGGGGAATTGTATACCAATGAAAGAATTTTTCTATTTTTCAAAGAGAAGAGCGAAGTGGGGGTGGGAGGTGGGCAGGGAGTAAAAATGCAACAATGAATGAATGGAAATACAAAATCTCTAAACGTTCATTAAAATTAATAAATTTTAAAAAACTAAAATGTCTAGCAAACATTTCAAGTGTATTATACACACACACACACACAAACACACACAGGGAAAAAAGGAGGGGAAGGTGGTCAATACAGTTCAGCATCTACTGGTCCTAAATGTGAATGAATTTGTGGTTAAGTTAACCACTAGGACTGTCAGGCTGGGCCTTACTTGGGAACAGAGTACAGGACTCTGTAAATCCTTTGCTGATACAGGATAAAAAAGCTCAGACAGTCCAATAATAGCCTAACTAAACAAACACAACAGGTGATGGAAACAGACACTCCCTGTCTACTTGCTCACCCACTGACAGGCTCACTTTGAGGATCTTGTTTTCATAAAGTATGTAGTGCTCAGTGATCTTCAGTTACCTCATTCATCATTCAGACACTGTACAAGATTCTAAGGCTACAATGATGAACACATACACACTGTCCTTAACCTGAAGAAACAAAATGGAGACAACAAAGACACTTTCAGATTTCTGTAGCTCTCACTACCCAAACAGCAAAAGCCTTTACATATGCAAGTTACTCAACCCTCAGAACTTCGTCTTTCTAGGAGAGAATAAACAGGGTTTTAACTACAGGGCTCCTATTTTTCAATTATCCAACAAAAGGCCTTTTTCTGTTATCCAATCAATAGTAATAAGTTACTGGCATAGATGTAAAATAGGCAGTAGAAATCCTCTTCACTTCTGGTAGGTTAAATAGATTCTTACTTCATAGAATTAGTATCAGAATAAAAAGAATGTATGTTTTCACTAGTTAAGATGCTATGACCTCCATTTCAATTTGGCATGTCCCCTAGAGAAAGATGGGTCCAGAGCCACTCTAGAAAATTGAGCCATGGCTTCTGCTCTGGACACAAGTGACCAAAATAAGTCTAAAAGTATGCAAGTCTCAAAGTATGTCGTAAGGTAAGTGTTTCTGTCATTAAGTGAGACTAAGTGGTCTTCCTTGAATGGATCTTCTAAGATCTACTCAATAAAAGAACCCGTTGCATATGAGATAAACAATTTTTCAATTATGATTGAAAAGGGGAGAAAGAACTATGGTCTTTGGTCCCATAAACTAGTCAGGAACTGCAAAACACTTTTAGTAATGGCAAAGAATCACCCTTTAGTAAGATGCTGCAATCACTGTGTCAATCAATCCATCTTTTGCTGAAGAGTTGTCATCTTTCCACATGTAAATTAGTCTTTTTTAAAATTGAGATTTTAATGAAAGGTTATGAAGAATTTGGATTTCCATTCATTCATTGTTGCACATTTTCCTCCCTGCCTCCCACCCCTAGTTTGCTTTTTTCTTTGGGAAAAAAAGTTCATTGTTATATGCTGCCCATCAGTCCCCCAAGACCACTTTACTATGCAGCTCTTATTCTGGACTCTTGTCATGCCACTAAAACCTAATACATATTCCTTTTATACAATTCTCTCCCTCATTTGTTTCAATGCTGTGTACATTATTTATCCCCTCTTACTTAGTTTCCCCCCAAACCCTATGTCAGTCTTGTTTTATAACAGTGGCATTATACAGTACTTGTCTTTTTGTGACTGAGGTTTCACTCAGCATTAATATCCTCCAGGGTCACCCATTTTGTTTATTTCATTAATTCCTTCTTATTCAATGCTGTATTGTATTCCACTGTGTGAATATACCACAGCTTCTCTATCCATTCATTTGTTGATGGTCACTTGGGTTGTTTCCAACTCTTTGCTATTGTGAAAAAAGCAACAATAAACATGGGTGTGCATCTACCCTTAAATTAGACTAGCTAAATCATTTTATTAAACTCATTAACAAGAAATTGCATAAAGTGAGTCTACTTCACAGAACAGGAAAGGGAGATTTTCAGCAGCCTGCCCACATACCAAGGTTTTGGGGATTTTCCAAAGGAATATTCTCATATTAAAAGAATACATGAGATCATGATCTCATTCTTAAGAAAAATACACTATATTGTGGAGGCTGAATGATAGCAAGATTAAATAATGCCAAGAATGAGTTATTTATTTTGCATAGTAAGACTCCTGCTTTATTAATCTTTCCAGATTTGGGAAGCAATCTGTGACTGAGAAATAAATTTTGATCTTGACTCAGAATGTACGTGTACGTATTTCTGCCTGTGTTACACCCAAAACTTTACAGATTAGCTATATTAAGATCTAGAAAAAAAGCACTAAAAAAATCAAATATACTTGCTTAAAATCCAGGGATTTGTAATCCAAAAGCATTAATAATCAGCTCCCAACCACAGAGAAAATTAGTGGCTACGAAGGATGGGAATAAGTTAGAAAGAGGTGTCATTCATTGCTTAGGGAAATGAATTTTCCTTTTTTTTTTTTTTTTTGGCGTGTGTCTATGTACCATCAAATCAGATCTGACTGGTACAGGAGGAGATTGCCCCTCTTTCTCCAGCAGAGAATCTGGTGGATTCAAACTGCACACCTCTGGGATGGCAGTTCAGCTTCTTGCCACTAGGGCACCATAGCTCACCGGGGAATTAATTTTCGATTAATAGTTGTGATAGTGGTAACATGATGAAAATAATTAATGTCAATAAAATATACACATTACAATCCCAGAGGAACACGGTTCGAATCCACCAGATGCTCTGCCGGAGAAGGAGGCGCAATATCCTCCCGTACCTGTCAGATCTGATTTGACGGTACACGCACACAAAATAAAAAAAAAAAAAAAAATACACATTAAAATAATGAGGCCAGTTAATGTTTTGTTATATGTATTTTTCACAACTTTAAAAAGAAAGAACTCAAGTGCTCTGGAAATTACAAAAGCAGCCATTATGACAGTATGTTATATACCTGTACGGAAGAGATTTGAAAATAACAGATAAGGGCACTGGGATTCAGGATACTTGCATTTTACACAGCAAACTGGTGGCTATAACCAATTGGTAGCTATATTGATGTAGGAGGCCTACATCAATTTGGGGGACTAGAAACACTCTTCCTACTAAACTGGGAAAGGAGAGGAAGATACAACAGTCCTAAGAACTAGGAAGCTCTGAATGCAAACCTAAACTTAACAACTACATTACCCTGCAATGCTCCACATTTTTCAAAATGAACAAATACTACTCCTAGGAGAGTGAAGTAAAAGCTGCATAGAAAAAATATCTCTAGAAACCATGTGTCAAAAGTTTCCCACATCAGGGTGTGGATAAGACTGAGAAAAACTGGATAAATTGTGTATACTGCACTGAAACAGATGAGGGAGTGAATAAAAGCGATGTATGATAGGGTCTTATGGTTATCACAAGAGTCCACAATTAAGGTTGCACAGTGGAATGTACTTTGGGCGGTGGGAGGGGTGGGGGGGGGGATTGTGTACCAGGGAAGGAGTGTTTTTTTTTAACTTTTGAAAGAGAGGAGCGAAGGGGGGATGGGCAGGGAGAGAAGTGCAGCAATGAATGAATGGTAATCCAAAATCTCTACATGCTCATTAAAATTATTAAAAAAAAAAATAAATGCTGAATGAGTTTGACTTTTTTTATTGTCTGACTCCAACTTTATGCACATTTTATTATAATATTTTGCATTGTCTTCCTGAGCTGCCCTTTGAAACTTTCTGTTCAGCTCCTAAATGTCTTGATTTGTTTGTGTGTTTGAGGTATAGAGATCTTTCCGTAACCTAAGTATCGTAACCTAAGTATCGTTGAAAGACATTGCTAATGATCTTCTTTACGTCATTATCTAATAAAAATGTTGTGAGTCTCAAAAAAAGAAGTTTCCCACAGAGCAACATTCATTAGCAATGATTGTGTAAAATACTATGTAACATGGGAGAGGCTAGAAAACATGAGGCTGTGGTGAACTAAAGCTAATAAGGACAAATTCTATTTTTATAATAATGTTCTTATGCAGTATAACTATTAAGATGTTTATCAAAGCCTAAAAGGGTAAGGGGAGGACAGGGGTTTGGTAAGGGACAATCAAAGCATCACAGTTTCGTGGGCAGAGGGAGTGAAGGAATTAGGAAAAATCCAGTGGGACCTGAAAAGACAGGGTGAAGATAGGGTGACAGTGGGCATAGATCAATGGTAATTAATTTTATAACACATAATGTATGGAAATAGTCATGAAACACAATTTAAGGAATTAATAAAACACAATGT